TACAGCTTAGTCCTTGTTTCCAGTCCTGAAGTCATACACAGCAGTTTCCACAGAGTTCAATGCATAAATCAGAGTAAAAGTCCTGGTAAATAAGTTCAGTAGTCAAATACCATATGTTCAGTCCAGTAGCCAGAGTTCTTCTTCCAATATACAGCATGAAGACACGGCTTCTTCCAGGATATTCCAGCACAGCAACACGATGACACCAATACACACCACCACACAGTGTGTGTGCTAGGTCTGCTAGCTTTATCCCAGGATTAGCCAATCCGGGGATTGCTCTCTCAGCTGTTACAATTTACTCAGCTGTATAAATTCTTGCCTTGCTTCTTTCTACAGTACTGATTCTGATAAATACTTGTTGCTATGTACAAAACTGTATTTAACAATTCCTTCAGGTTTAACTTAAACCTGTCAACTCGTGATGTATGAGAAGTTTGACTTACCATGGATTTACCCAATTCAACACCTCCCAGGTTGAAGACTGTCACAATACCACACATTCCAGAATGAAGCTGCCTTGTACTGAATTGAACCATTGGCCCTTTCAGCATCAAACCCAGGTCAGCTCTGAATGGAAGCAGACCTTCACAGTTTTATATAAGACTTTAAAAAAACCCTGCTTGGATATTCTTTACCCAAAACTAACCAGGACTGACCCTGATGTGTATCGGAGCCTGTAATCTATTCAGGAAAAAAAAATTGAACAACTTGCAAACAGCTGGAAAATGTACAAAAAGCATTATTATGTTTCGTGTTGTGTGGTGTGGAGGTGATGAGATTTGTGCTTTCTTTTGTTTAGAGATGGGTGCGAATTAAAAAATGAATTGCCATTTTTGCTGCCCGTGCAGCGAGGAATCCGTCCCAGAAAATAGCGGGCGGCCATTTTTTTACCCAGTGGCCATTTTGAAACCACCGATCAGCTGTGCGAAAAACGTCATTTTGCGATAATCAGTTAGCGAAGCAGGGAACCGATCATTGCAAAGCGAAAAAACCCCATAGGAAACATCATTTTGCTATCGCAAAAACTTCTTCGTTATGTGATTTCGTCGTAAATCGAAGCGCTCGTCTTGCGAGGCACCACTGTACTTTAGTGTCTCTGCAATACAGCAGACTGAAGAGACAAATGTGCCCCGTTTGATTGTTCAAGACTTCTAGCAAACATTGAATTAGCATTTCTTTGCTTGGAGACTAGAGGGTTGGCATATCATATTGCCTTCATAGTTCTCCCTTTGAGCTTCATGCTGTGTTGTACAAAGCTTTTTATAAAGGAATGTATCCATTTGCAGTGCAACGTTGCCTAAATGCAACTCTTATGAAAACTAAAGTGAAATTAGCAATAATAATTTATCTCATTGAAAAACATGTGAATATAACCTATATATTAGTACAAACTCTTTATACAAATGTGATTTTTTTTTAAAAAAAATGTAGACAAAATGATTCTATTCCAGCACAAAAGGAGATTTTGGAGAAATTCCAAGTTTTGCAGTGTAAGAGATAAACTCCAAAGAAGGAACAACATAATGGGGATGCATGCAGAGACAGAATACTGACAGACTCTTTGGAGAAACATGAACAATTGGGGATGAGGGGAAACGACTCCATGCTGCAACATTTTGTTGCAGTGCTGTCCTGTTATTTTACTGTCATATTAGTTTCTGAAAATAACAAATACATCTAAGTCAAGTCCAAAGGTGCATTGGAGTAAATAAAGAAGCATGTAAACATAGCAGACCTGTTGTGGCGCTCACCAAACAATCCTCTATTGTGTGTGCCACCAACAAATAGCAAAACTCCCCAAACCCCTTTACTAAGTTCATGTTTAACTTCTAAATAGGGACTCCTTTCCCTGGAACATCCTATAAACAAATCAGGCAAACAGCCAGTATTTCTCTCCACTGCATTTTAATAGTGCCAAAACTATGGGCTGAATTTATACTTCCTTGTTTTAAAAAAAGGGATAAGAACACATTTAGTGAAACACAAACAGCTGATGCAGTTTTGGTGACACAGCCTTGACAATGTGTCCCAGTGTTGGCCTGTTAACAGTACATGCAGAATGGTACATTGTGACTGCTATTCCCAAAAATAAGATTTGTAAATCCCAAAAAGTTTATTTTTAAAAAAGAAGTTCAGTATTCCGGATGGCTGAGTTCTTATCATACAGCTGAACTCTACAGTTTAAAAAGAATTTGTTATTTGTAGATATAGAGGGATGCTTTCTTTTGCACAAATTCCAAGGGGACGACGACACTTATTTCCACAGCTTCTTCACCAAAAAACCAGACACCTCTCAGCACATTTCCTAACTACTTTACAGTAGTACTCCCCATAGTACTTTGAATCTCTATTAATACAGTGTGACTTCACTCTAAATGCTTCAAAGGTGAACTCTCAGTTTATCTCTTTCTATCTCTCAGACCCAAACTTAATGAAATTACTAACTTTACTCATCCCAACCAAAGCTGAACTAAAATTCCTCCTCCTCCTCCCTGTCTCTATAGTCCTTATACAGTAGGACTCCCATACCTGTGGGATCAGTATCAGTTGTTTCACTGGTCTGTGGTTTTCTACAGCCCTATATAGAAGGGCTGTAGGAAATCTAGTAACACAAGGGCTGTTATGTTTACAACTATGGGTTGTAAACATAACAGCCCGTGTGGCCTCTGTCCCATCTCCTTGTATGTTGTAGATAGGGTCCTCTCATATCTGGTTTCAGGTGACCATGGCAGATCATGGAACCTATCCTTCACAGATACATGGGTCGTGTTCTATATTTAAAAACAGCAGCTGTACAGTCAGGCAGCACACCAGCCATTCGGAACAGTTCCGTACACACACACACACACACACACACACGTGTGCGCACACACACACACACGTGTGTGTGTGTGTGTGTGTGTGTGTGTATGTATGTATATGTGTGTGTGTGTGTTGTATAAGAACCTCGTGGCGCAGTGGTTAAAACACTGTGGTTAAAACGCTGTACTGCAGCTAAAACTGTGCTCACGACCTGGGATTCAAATTCCAGGTAGCCGGCTCAAGGTTGACTCAGCCTTCCATCCTTCCGAGGTCGGTAAAATGAGTACCCAGCTTGCTGGGGGGGCAATGTGTAGCCTGCATAATTAAAAAATTGTAAACCGCCCGGAGAGTGCCTGTAGCGCTATGGGGCGGTATATAAGTCCAAAAAATAAATAAATAAATAAATATATGTGTATATATGTGTATAAAAGGTAAAGGTTCCCCTTGACAATTTTTGTCCAGTCGTGTTCGACTCTAAGGGGCGGTGCTCATCCCCGTTTCCAAGCCATAGAGCCAGCGTTTGTCCGCAGACAATCTTCCGTGGTCACATGGCCAGTGCGACTTAGACACGGAACGCTGTTACCTTCCCACCGAGGTGGTCCCTATTGATCTACTTGCATTTGCATGCTTTCGAACCGCTAGGTTGGCGGGAGCTGGGACAAGCGACGGGCACTCATTCCGTTGCATGGATTCGATCTTACGACTGCTTGGTCTTCTGACCCTGCGGCACAGGCTTCTGCGGTTTAGCCCGCAGCGCCACCACGTCCCTATATATGTGTATATATGTATGTTTATGTATAGGTGTGGTGACATAGCTATGTTATATAAATGTAAGCTCCCTCTTAGTTAGAAAGACATATTTCACATGAACTTACTGATAAACTCTGCTGGAAAGGGTTATTCAAAGTCCAGAAATAGAGAAATAAAACACATATACACATATCTACCTTTCCTAAACACTAAGAAAAGGAAGCATTAAAATAAGGGGGGGATCAATCCCCTCCCAAACGAAAGCAAAGCAAAGTGTGCTGCTTATATACCGGCCCATAGCACTTCAAGCACTCTCTGGGTGGTTTACAAGTTAATTATGCAGGCTACACATTGCCCCCCCCCCCAGCGAGCTGGGTACTCATTTTACCGACCTCGGAGGGATAGAAGCCTGAGTCAATCTTGAGCCGGCTACCTGGGATTGAACCCCAGGTTGTGATCACAGTTTTGGCTGCAGTACAGCGGTTTAATCACTGTGCCACGAGGTGCAGGAAAGCAACTGGCACATGATGAGATTTTGCCGCCACACACCACAACCATCACATCTTAATGACTTATATTAAATCTCTTGCCCTTTTTTAATTCATTGGGGGCAGGGGAAAAATCAAGACAGGGAAGGAACAAAGAGCTGAAAAATCCCCAAAGCAAGTTGGAGGGCAGGGATTCAGACAATAATCTCAAGAAGGCATGGTGGCAGATGGGTAAGCAACAAAAATAATCTGAAGAGTTGCAGAGGAAATCCCCCTTAAAAAATCAAGGGGAAAAAAGGAGGATCCTAGAGGAACCGGCTACCTGAATGCAGAAAATGAAGAGTGCCAAAAGTGAGCACACCCACAAGGGTTGACACTGAAACAAAGAACTATTGTGCTGAAACCAATCCAGGACCTTTTGTGGCTTCAAAATTTCCACTTCTTCCCAGATATTCTGATTGGCTGTTGACAGGAGTCCTTATGATGCTTTTGGATGTAAAAAATATCTGGTTATTTACAGGTAAGGCTAAGGATTGGTTGGAGCAAATGATGAAAGAAAGATTAAATGAAAGAGAAAAATACAAAAGCACATGAAACGTTTGTGTTCTCTTTTGTTAATACAAATCATATGTGTTTCAGAGGCTCTCTTTTTGGAATCAATGAAAGAGTAGAAAAGAAGAAAAATGAAAGAAAAAAGAGCCTGCTTTGTGTTTTTCCCCCCTTTCATTAAAACACAAGAGTTCCATCCTTAGCAGCTCCCTTGTCGATAGATAGTAGGATTAGTTGAGCTACGTTTTAAGAAGGGCCATTAGAAGAAAATCTTCATATGTAATAAATAAAGCAACCAGGTCTCTTTTCTGATAGAAGGTCACACCTTTACAGAAGTTAAAATCGCTGACAGTACATTATATTTTGTTCTGAAATACTTATAGTTTTTTTTTATCCTGTTTGGTAAAGGACGAGCCAACCACTGGTCAGCAATCATTGGTGGATCTCATTCAAAGAACTATGTCCTTTGGGAATATGGAGGATATGCAAGTGAGGGTGTTAAGCAAGTTGCAGAGCTGGGATCACCTGTGAAAATGGAAGAAGAAATTCGGCAACAGGTAATTGTAATTGAATGAATTCTTTGCCAGCAGCTGAAAACATTTAATGAGACCGATTTGAAAGACCTTGTCCTTATTCAGACTTGTGAGCTTTGTTGTAGCAAATCTTAACAAAGTCCGCTAGTGCTTTCCTGGATAATGATTTTAAGATTTAATCCTGTAATTGAACGTTCACTAAAGGCCACCCTTTTATTCACTCTCATCATAGCAGAACATTGAACCACAGGTTTTGTCTATAGCATTGATTCAGGACAATTCTGCACAGCCTTTTTAGCATGCCCCCCCCCCCCCGAGATCAATGTAACTTAATGTGTAAAGGATGAACACAAAATCTGCCAAATACAGTATGGCTGTATGGGAAATCAGTATGAATGTGAACTGAAGTGGGGTGACATTTCTGGGTGGAAATTTTAAAAAATTGTAATGAGAGATGGTATCCAGATTCTAAGAACAAGTCTTAGCATCACAGAACCTGTTGGGAGAGACTGCAGGCCAAAGGCTGTAATATCCAGTGGGAAAGAAGTGCGTGGCTTTTAGAACCAAAGTTATACTGGTTTCTAAGACAAAGGTGGGACAGAAGTAAAGACTGATCAGAAGTAAAGGTTGATCTGGCAGATCCCTGGGTGATCAGCAATATGGTCAGGGTTGCCAGGTCATGAGTACTGCATTCCCTCAGGCTCAGTGCCAAAGCCTGAGACATGGAGAGCAGCCTTGAAATCATGAGCTTCAGGGCTAATAGCTCACACAGTACATTAAGAAAAGCTGTGTCTGTCTGAAGCAGCAATAACAAGTGGTGGTTCTGATTTTAGATCCAATTTGGTCCCATTTGTGGGGAGAAAGTGGAAACCTAAGCATCTATGAATAAGTTTCCTGAGTATTTAGTAGACCAAAGTGCTGGAGGAATAGCATTTATGGTAAAGGCATCTGGGCTGGAACCTCCTCTTGTTGCATATTGTTAGATGGCTTGAAGTTGTTGGCACTGAAGGCGCAGACAAGGTGTTGTGTTATTCTGTAGTACAGTACTCCAACTTGATTCTTCTCTGCTGTGGCAAGTAACGTATAGCTAAGAAGCAGATGGTGCTTGTGTTTAAAACATAGTGATTTTAAAAAGAGAGCCCAGCAGCAGTTCTACCCAGTTTGAAAGAAGGGGCGATATGAGCTAATGGATTGTCAAATGCTTGCCTGCCCAGTTTGGAATAATGAGAGAGGCACAGGTATATGGGATAACTAGGCCAATTTGAGTGCCAGCCAAAAATTCCCATCCGGCCCCGAAGCAACCAGCTAACCTCATTCCCACGATAAAGGGTGGGTGGCTGGGCCAGCTCGAAGGAAAGAAAGTGTGAGGCAAGGTTGGGCAGCCTTCTTGAAGGCTTTGCTGACGCCCAGCCCCTCGCCCGATATGACGCAGCCACCTTGGCTGCGTCCATCTCATCTGTCCAGGCGGGCAAAGGAGTTCCACCCCAGCAGCTTCGCGCCTCGTGGAGAGGCCCTTAGGTTTGAATAGTTTTGGCAGCCGGGCTTCCATTTTCAAAAATGATTCAGGAAGCAGGTAAACTGTATTTGTTTTAAGGTTATTGCATTCTGGATGCATACAATTAGTACATATAAATTGACTGTTCCAGGAAGTTATCGTGAATTGTCTGCCAAGCTGCATATTTGTCTGTGTCTGTGCTAATCAACCTTGGAGCCAAGAAAAAAAAAAACCACAACTGTTTATCTTGGGTTGCATGATGCCATTGACATCTTCTTCAGCTTTTATTGTTTTTTTTTTTTTTCATAAGCCCTTGGTTCTTATACTTTGTTAATTGGTCAATATCCCCAATGCAATAGATAGCATACACCCTTTGGTCAATATTTATTAGCTTTCTCTGTGTAAAGATAGGGCACTGTGACCAGCTGATGCCAGAGTCAGATCCAGTGTAGAATCTCTCTTTGGGGAAAAAGCAATGATGGGTAAATGCATTTCTCTTGTCTCTTTGTCCTAAGACTGCTCTAGAAGTTACATAATGCTCTCACTGTCAGATTGCTGGATATGCAGACTCCTCTCCTGTGAGTTTTTCACCTCACAGGATATCGGGGAAACAATGACATAAAGAGCAGAAGGGCAATATATGGCTGTTAAAAGGTGCTGTTATGTGAGAAGGCGTCTTTGTTACCATAACTTGACACATTCACCGTCTGTAAAGAAATGAGCCCTTTGGAAATGGCTTCATTTGTCATTTTATTTTAGAAAAGGAAGACAGTGAGAAAATCATTCACCAGACCGTAGCACAAAATAAAAATAAAAGCTGCAGAATCAGCATCATGAAATAGCAGAGCAGGGAAATGCGTATGGCTCTTGAAGGTACAGCTTAACCTCCATGGCTAAATTTGTATACTTGGCATGCATAGGTGGGTCTTGTTATCTTCAAGGAGGGTTCTGTCTGTGATTCCAGCAGTAGAAATTTTGTACCCAAGAGTATTCCCTCAGGCAATACTAAGGTTTTGTGCTAAAAGCGCCCTGAACTAATACTTTCAGGCATGAATTTAAATGGGGATATGTTTTCATATATCAAATGTGAAGTGAATGAGTAATTGAATTTTCATGGTCTTACCTAAGTCTGCATTGCTAAGCAAGAAGAGCATGTATGCCCAGAAGGTAAAGCTGCCCATTAGAGCGAGATACTGCGCTTTTAATGGGACTTCTTTTATTTCCCAAAGGCGCATAATGGGTGCTTCTAAGGATGTGACTAGAAAACACAGAGAATGTATAGCTGTACCCATAACAATAATTGACTACTGCAGTGCTCCCTATGTGGGGGCTACCCTTGAGGCTGATGCGAAGACTTCAACTGGTCCAGAATTTGGTGGTCAAATTAATAACTGGAGTGAAGAAATTCCAGCAAATCTCCCCCACTCTGGCCCCCCTTCATTGGTTACCGGTTTGTTTCTGCATCGACATCAAGGTTATGATGATAACATTCTTACCCCTAAACGGCTTAGGTCCTAGTTACCTGTCAGAATGCCTGCTCCCATCCAGATCTGTCCATAATAGCCATTCTTCATAGGCAGGGCGGTGGACAGCCCTGACCCTGAAGGAGGCCTGAAGGGAAAGAACAAGAAACCGGGCCTTCTCAGTGGTTGCCCCCCCTCCTATGGAACAACCTGCCTATTGAGATCCACCTGGCACCCTCGCTCCATGGGTTTAAAAAAGCATGGAAGCCCGGGCTCTTCCGCCAGGCTTTCTCAGAGTGCTAAGATCTTACTTTCCCTTTTTACCATCCTTTTTGCCATCCTCTCCATCACCCTTTTTACCACCTTTATTGCCATCTGTTTTAATTTACTTTACCCTATTTGGTTATGTATTAATTTATTTATTTTTTCGTGTTTTAATATTGTTCCTGGTACCATTGTTAGCAGCCCAGAGTGGCCTGGTTGCCAGATGATGTAGGATAGAAATAAATAAATAAATAAATAATTCTGGGTCTTTCTCTTGTCTTTACTCCACTCTCCACCTTAATTAATGTTTAATAATATAATTAGGGGTAACCCCTCTTTTCCCCTGCTGATTTCATACACCTCTGCTATGCCAGCCCAGTGAATGGGGACGGTGATTAAAAAAAAAAAATCTACCATGCTAAAATCATGGCAAAGGCACTCTCTGTTATAATCCAAGTAAGCTAACAAGATTTTGGAAGACTTTGAAAGGCCTGTCACTTCTTTTTTCCTCACTCCATAGAGAATGGTATTGTGAATGAGAAAGTGATATTCTGTCATTGCTGTTATCTATTGTTTTGGATTGTGTATGCTATTTTTCAGTTGCTGCTCTATAATTCTAAATTTCTCAGTTGTTTTCTGTGGACAATAGCGACTTCTCCACAAGGGAAGACCAAAAAACACATTCTAAGAAATATTAGAAGGCATATTCTGCAACAAGTTGATTGCTTTACAGTTTTGAACATCTCTCCTCTTCTCTAATTACCAATCAGTTGTAATTTCACTATGTGTTTAAAAGCATTTGAAAGGTGCGTGCGTGTTTATTCCTTACAAAATGATCCGGCAGCAGAAGGGTACTTGTACATTTCTCATCATATTTCTGGTTCATATACAAGAGAGTTGCTTTTTAAAAAAGAGAATACTGGGAATCTAGGCAATCTCACTTTGTAAATGGGACTTAGTAACATCATAAGATTCCAGGTGAAACTTAGAAAGCCAAGTAAGATAACAATTGGATCTCACAGCAATAATCCAGAGGGCACATATCATAACCATAATAGCATCAATATCAGAAATAGGTCTGGGTAAGAATTTTGTTCAGAGATTTACCAAGTGCATACCTCTCAAATCCATATGGTGACTGGAAAGTGCTGTCTTTCAGTAGAATATTCACCATATTTATCCATATCACAACAGAGCTCTCAGGGGAAAAAGTGCATTACATACATAAAATGTACATTAATGAAATAAATGTGCACAACACCCTTTGATAAGGGAAATGATACTTACCAAAATGCATGTGTTAGACAAATATGCAGACAAATGTACTCTTATAGATCTATGTGGGCTGCACTTGAAAAGTTTTTGGAAGTTGCAAGTGGAGAAAATACTGTGGCCAGGTAGTTGTTTGGTGTGCAGATCACACGCCTCAATCTAACTTTATTGGTGTTGAGTCTGTTTCCAAGTTCACTTCTAAGTTGTTGGCTTTGACCTATTGAATTCTCAATGTCTTGAAGTCAGGATATGTGAAAGTCTCTCTCCTATATTATCCTGTCAAAATTTGAGATTTTCATTGAAGTATCTCCTACGTATCTACCTACTACCATAATCATAGTGAATGCATGATACAGGGCTTTCTCCACAGCAGCACCTCAGACAGGCTAGGTGCATACCTGATAATCTTCTTGTGGGCAATCAGAAGAATACTATTCCATAAAGCCTATTCCAAATATTGTTCTTTATCAGTTTTATAGTATATTAGTTTGGGAACTCTTAAGGGAGAGAAAAACAATTAAGAAATACTT